ACAGGAATGGGGGGCGGTGGGGCTGCCGGTGGGGAGAGGGGGCTGGCAGCCTCGGTGGAAACCTGCACCTTGATGTTACTCTTGAAATACTGGCGTCGGACGCTCACGTCTTCCAGGGATGGGCTATCAAGAGAGGTGGAGGGAAGGCCAGGGGCTTCGCTGGGCTGTTCCCCACCCATCTGGGGCCCGTGCAAACCCTGGGGGTCCCTTAGAGGGAGGGAGGGGGAGACTGCACCCGTGCCGGAAGTAGATCCCAGGGAAGCCAGTCGGGTGGGTTCCTTGGCATTGAGAGAGGAATTCCAGAATTCTGCAGGAGGAGAAGGAGAAGGAACAGAACATAGAACGATCGATAGGGAAGGGATCTCAGAGGTCTTCTAGTCCAACCCGCTACCCAAGAACAGAAGACTTTAGTCTCTTCTTGAAAACCTCCAGGGATGGAGCACCCACAACGTCTGGTGGCAAGCTGTTCCACTGGTTAATTGTCCTCACTGTTAGGAAGTTTCTCCTTCAGAAAAAAACAATGGCTACCAACCTGCCTTCCACGGAGGACCTGTATCCTGCACGAGCCAAAAAGAGGGCTGTGAAAATATCTACAGACCCCTCACATCCCGGACATAAACTGTTTCAACTCCTTCTCTCAAAAGGACGCTAAAGAGCCCTGCACACCAGAACAACTAGACACAAGGGGAGTTTTTTCTCTGCTAAACTACTAATTCCCTCAACACTGTCCAACTATTTACAAAGTCTGCACTACTATTACTATTAATCTTCTCATCACTCCTGATCACCCATCCTCTCCCACTTGTGACTGTAGGACTGTAACTTTGTCGCTTGTATCCTTACGATTTTTATTGACTGTTTCCTAGTATGAATTGATTGCTTATTGTACCCTATGACTATTATTAAGTGTTGCACCTGATGATTCTTGACGAATGCATCTTTTCTTTTATGTATACTGAGAGCATTTGCACCAAGACAAATTCCTTGTGTGTCTAATCACACTTGGCCAATAAAGAATTCATCCATCCATCCATCCTCCATTCATTCATTCATTCATTCATTCATTCAATCATCCATCCATCCATCCTCCATTCATTCATTCATTCATTCATCCATCCATCCAACCATCCATCTATCCATCCATCCATTCATTCAATCATCCATCCATCCATCCATTCATTCACTCATTCAATCATCCATCCATCCAATCATTCATTCATTCATTCGTCCATTCAATCATCCATTCATTCATCCATCCATCCTCCATTCATTCAATCATTCAGTCAATCATTCATTCATCCATCCATCCAACCATTCATCTATCCATCCATCCATCCATACATTCAATCATTAATTCATTCATTCAATCATCCATCCATCCATCCATTCATTCAATCATCCATCCATCCATTCAATCATTCATTCATCCATTCAATCATTTATTCACTCATCCATCCATCCCTCCATTCAATCATTCATTCATCCATCCATCCACTCCAGGTTGCTTCTCTCTTTGATGAGTTCCATCGTTGTTGCTCTTCTCTGCACTCTTTCTAAAATCTCAACATCTTTGTTATATCGCAGTGACCAAAACTGGACGTAGTATTATTCCAAGTATATGCGGTTTAAAGTGGTATTATCACTTCTTGTGATGATCTTGATGCTATCCCAACCTCTGAGCATCCTAATTCTAGACTGAATTAGTTTCTGAGCCCAGAAACTCAACGATCCAGAAGTCCGGAGGTGCGTGGACTGGGGAAGCATTGAAGGTGAGGTGCGGTGGGATTACCTCCCCCATTGCTACTCACCTAGCCCCAGGTGTGCAATGGCTTCCAGCTCCTGGCAGGTGGAAGCCTCCCAGATCGGCTGTGGGAGACGTAACGCAAGAGGCAGGATGTCCCTTAAGAGGGGAGAAAAAAGAGAACCTCGTCCAGAGTTCCCAAACCCATAAGGCTGCTTTCAAAAGCCAGAAACCCATACAGGTACCACAATTGGAACCTGAATCTCTACCACTAAGCAACGTGTTATTCAATGAGTCATGCCCAATTTTTTTTAATTGAACTACTGCAGTTGTTAAAGGGAATCTAATTAATAAGAATAGAGTGGAAAGGGCCCTTGGAGGTCTTCTAGTCCAACCCTTTGCTCAAGCAGGAGACCCCATTTTGACAAATGGCAGTCCAATCCTTCCCTTTTTCCTTTCTTTCTCTTTTCTATCTCTCTGTCTCTCTATTTATCATCTATCTATCTATCTATCTATCTATCTATCTATCTATCCATCCATCCACCTACCTACCTATCTACCTACCTATCACCTATCTGTCTATCTCAATCTATCTACCTACCTATCTATCTGTCATCTATCTATCTCAATCTATCTATCTATCTATCTATCTATCTATCTATCTATCTATCTATC